GAGCCTGAGAGTTTCTCTCTCTGCCTTAGTTCCCCTTTCCAGGAGAATGACTGTGTGTCTATGCTCGGGGTCCCAAAAGCTAATAATCTTGTGAAAACATCAGTTAGCCTGTGAATAAACTGCTATGTCCACGTCATTCTGGAAGTGTCTCTTACAGCTAATTTTTAGGACAGTCTCTTCCAAATCCTGTTTTTGCATTTCAGAAACAGATGCAGTCTGATCCACACAAGCTGGACTTCGGGCTGAAACCTGAATTTCTGAGCAGGCCACCGGGCCCCAGCCTTTTTGGAGCCATCCACCACCCCCACGACCTGGCCCGGCCCTCGACACTCTTCTCCACAGCCAGTGAGTGCTGAGAAGCATAATCTTCTTGTGGCATCCTCAGTAAAATCCTAAACCTTGCCATGTTAGAAGGAAATTTCCCATATGCTTTGGCTTATGAACTCTCTGCAAGTCATGCCAGGGGCTATTAGTCTGTTTTCTGAATATTAAAAATTATTATAGTGGTAAATATTAAAAATGATAAATAAAATAAAAAATGGCAGCTATTAAGAAAGCCCAGCCTGCTGAAATAGGTAATAAATGGAGGAACATTTCTTCATACAGTGATGTCCAATGCATCCTGGAGGTGACAGGTTGGAAATATGCTGTATTTTACATGGTTTTTTTCTCCTGTACTGAAACATTCCCTCTCCCCCACCCCTTATACTCTAACTGGGAATTTCTGCTAAGAAAAACAGCTGGTATTTGCATAGGATCCTGACCTGAGAGCCCCCCGTGCAGCATACAGCAACCTCTGCTCACGTGAACTGACATTTAAGAAATGATAGTCAAGCCCAGAGCACGGTTAGTCCCTTTCCGAGCTTTTGCTAGGAATTCACCCCTTTTGCTTTGTTTTGGCAGGTGGGGGTCATCCAGCTGGCACCCCTTTCGGCCCACCACCTCACCACAGCAACTTTCTCAACCCAGCCGCTCACTTAGGTACGTTCTCTCTGCAACAGGTTTTGAAATGCTTCTGAAAACAGTCGGGATGCTGGAGGAGCGGAGTGACAGGGCTGGTCACTGTACTCGTGGTTATAACCTGTCAGAAAAAAAGCCTCAGGTTAAGGCATCGGTTTGTAGAGGTGTTTGTCCTAACGCCGACTTAGATGTCTGCTTTTCCATAGAAGTGAGTGGGAAATCGATCCTTAAAATCTTGTGGTCTGGCCTCAAATGTGTCTCTTAGTGAAAATTAGTGAATACACATTTAAAAATGGAACCACCCATTTCCCTCCTCCCTTCCTGATGTTGTGATAAGGTGGTCTGCTGCCTACGGAGCATCAGAGATCAGGGCTCTGAACTGGCACTTTATTTTGCATAGGGAAGGATTTGGGAGGGTCACCAAAGGGTACAGCAGAGTCACGATGTAGGTTTATCATTCTACGTTTAGCTGCCTATGGACAGTGCTGGGTAGGGTCTGCCGTTTCTCTGTGCTGGTGCTTAGCAGCAGGAGTGACATCAGAGTCATTGCACATCTCCAGAGTGACGCGAGGGGAGAATTCCCTTCATGCTCTGTTAGCTACCAAAAAAATTACTCCAATATTTTTCAGTCCCTACTAGTTTTTTGGTATGGTGTTAGCAATAAATATCAAGAGCATTACAAAATGTTCAGGTCAGCCTGACATATCAATGTAATAGGACATTTTATTTATATCCTGGGTATGGTTCAGGAGACATGGCCTGGAGGTGTTTTGGAGCACAGTTGCCAGAGTTAATAATAGTCTTTCTAGCCAGGGACATTTCCTGAGACAGACCATGGAGCTCAACTGGAAAGGAATAAAAGGAAATAAGCATGGAGAAGTTGGCAGGTTCCTAATGAAGTAGCTGCTTATGCAGAAGCACAGGCCTCAACACTGTATATTTTAACATCTTGTTTTTCTTTGAAGAGGAAATTTTTCTAGTAAGACGACCCCATGCATACTGTCATTGGGGTTTTATGTCTCCCAGTCACTGCTGTGCTGTGGGAGGATGATGTTCCACTGCTGCTGGGCACAGACTGAGCTTTCGTGCAGACATAATGGAGTTGGGTAATGTGCTAACGCTTTCTCGTAATTACCAACATGCCAGTGAGCTGCCCCTGTTTTCGTTGGTTTGCAGAGCCTTTCAATCGACCGGCCTCCTTCAGCGGTCTCACTGCAGTGGGTAGTAATGCCTTCGGGGGACTCGGGAACCCGACAGTTAGTGAGTAACCTCTTTGTTTATGAATTCCTGTTTGCTGTGTAATTTGGGATATTGATGATGACTATTTGCTGTCTTTTTTATCAGTTGCTTAGACCACATACCACTAAGAGATGGGAATTTGAAAAGAGACGTTTTTCTTCTAAATAACAGCATTTATTAGTCATCAGTAAATTATTTTGTATTAGTTACTTAATAGTGCGGGTTCAACATCGTGCTAAATGTCACCATTGCATTGTTCAGTTAAAAAGAACCACTACAGAACCTGTGAATCTAAGGAGATTGTGAAATTTCCCATGGTTTTGTTGCATGTTTGAAAGAGCTGATGTGTGCAGCATCCCTAGCTGTGGATGGGAACTTTTTTTTTCGCTTTCTCACCAGTAATCCAGGACATGTGCCTGGAAAAGATCACTAACCTGCATTTATTTGTCCAGGATCACCAACATTTCTCTCAATTTGGCCAGTCACAAAAGATCATCCTTTTAAAAATCACTCTCTTTCTCCATACTTCAAATCTGGCATGATTTCAGTCACATGTTATTTTACTTTGGTTCAGGATCAAATGCAACAAGTCCCATTATTTATAGTCTGTATAATGGTCATCTCCCGATGTCTCCAAAATATTTGGAATGAGGATCATTGTCATTTTTATCTTAATATTCATCCCTTGTCGATTTTATCCACAGCATTTCCCTTTCCAATTAAAAGAGCTGTCAGATGCCTGCCCGTTTTTAGGAATGAGACCCTCTAATGAATCTCTGTTAATTTCCTTTCCTTTTCCAGCTCCCAATAATATGTATTCATTTTAACTCTGAGTGCTGTAAAAGTTTTTTTGGTAAGTACCTTCACTAGAGCATACCTTTTTCTTAAACCTTTTTGTTTTCCACTTCACCATTTCAGCACCCAACTCAATGTTCGGCCACAAGGATGGCCCCAGTATGCAGAGCTTTAGCAACCCTCACGAGCCCTGGAACCGACTGCACCGAACTCCTCCTTCGTTCCCGACCCCTCCGCCCTGGCTGAAGCCAGGAGAGCTGGAGCGCAGTTCATCTGCTGCAGCTCATGACAGAGATAGAGATGTAGATAAACGAGACTCATCTGTTAGTAAAGATGACAAAGAAAGGTACGAAAGAACACTTCCAAGAATTGTCTAGTTCAAAGCTTGGGGCTCTGTTCCGCTTTTAACCCTTCCCAGCCTGGCACATTGTGAAACCAGAGCTTCAGTAGAGGGATACCTGGAGAGCTGACACCAGTGCTGCCTGCGATGCGAGGCACTACGGAAGGGGCAGGTTTCTCACTCGGGTGTTTCCTACTGCATCTGTTTCTCTTCTCACCTGCACCACGCTTCAGCAGAAGGAGCTTTGCTGGAGCAGAGTTCGGGCAGTGTCAAGTGAGAATAGAATCAGACCCACACACTCTGTTACCTTGCGGGTCACATCGTTGTAGGTCTTTTGAAGATTTAAGGTGTAGATAGGTGCCTGACAGGATGAAAAAAAGGGGTTATAAAGTCCATCAGACGCATATCTGCACCTTTGAATACTGAAATAACCTTGGAAATCAGACCTTGTCTGCAAAACAAATAACCCCACCTCCCTCTTCAAAAATTAACTGACTAGAGGGACCACCGATAAAGTTATAAAATTATATAACACAGGAAGTGTGTCATGTTCCGAGACCACAGTAAGTTTCAGTGCATGCAGTTCATTAAATCAACCTTAATTCCCCTCAGAAAAGTCACACACACGTGCACTGCTGCTCCACACCTGCAAGCACAGTTTTTATTCCGTGCTTTACATGGACTTGCACGCTGACATGTCCAGGCTGGGAAGGGTTAATGAAAAGTAAAACCTGGTCATATTTTTTTTTGTCAGGACTGTTCCCATTATACAGTTAACTCAGTAACAATTCCTCTTAACATTTAAGTACCAAATTATAAGAATTTGCCATTCAGCAAGTGTCATGCCTTCTTTGAAAAATGTAGAGAGGCTGATTTCAGCTTTTTCAGTTGTGGCTTAATGGCTTTCTTGTTAACTTTGCACATTACTTTACTACATAATGGCTATTTGTTTCTAATTTTTTAGCATAAAAGAATATTTAGGAGATGTGCTTTTCTGACTTCTCTGTCACTAACCCAAATATACGCATTAGTAGCCTTTTCTAATAGAAGTTATGCTAACACATTAGATATTCTAAAAATACATTTAAGAGCTTTTCTTTGTTACTGTAAAATGTGAAGACCAAGCCAAACTACAGATCTTTTCACCTACATTTTCCATTTGGAATATTTTCTGTTTGGTAGCATAGCTTCATTATTTTCATGTCTGATGTTAATGCTTCAAAATAAATTGCTGTTACAAATTGGGGATTCTGTCCTGCAAAATGCTTACACATGTGAGTAACTTTACTGGCTTGAATGGCAAAGCATTGTAGTTATTTATGACATGGGTGGTCTTTAGAATTAGGATTACGTGATTATTTCAGCTGCTGTTTGGTTGTTTTTTTGTGAAGTGTTACTGCTGGAGAAAATCCCTTCCAGAAATGCATTCCTTGCAAGCTGCTTTGGCATTGCCTGAACTCCCTGTCATAGCTCTGAACATACTTATTTTCAGTAATTTGAGAGTTGAAAAGTAAGCGTCATTCATACTTCATACTTCTGCACAGTTATGGCAGCCAGTTTAGCACAGTAACGTCACTGCCGATCTAGCGTTGCTGTGCATCCATCTGTATGGTTTTGAAGAGTTCTACTTTGCAGCACACTCACACTGTGGCTTGTAAGAGAAGATGCCGAGAATCCCTTCCTGGGGACGTGCTCCCTGTGTAGCTCAGGTCTGGGGTAGTTTGTGACCCTCTCACACTGACTCATTTATCTTCAGTGGCCCCCAGCAGGGTGAGGGTGTAGTCCTGCTTTCTAATTGAGGCACCAATCTCTGTGACCTAGTTTAAGCTAATTTGCCCAAACAGGAAGAACTAGGAGTCATGCCCAGAGATATGATTTAATCTCAGAATCATCCTGTCATCAAGAGTCTAACTTTACCAGCCCCCAGAATGGGCCACCTAGCCAAAAGCATTCATCTGGGCGACTTCCGTTATCAGAGGAAAGGTACCTCAGAGGTACCTCTTAGCCTGGCTCTTCCCCATCTAAGAACGGTGTCAGAGTGGGGTGCAATGACTCTCTGGCCTCTCTGCTTGGATAAGTGGTACAGCCAGTGTACCACAGCCCCTGCCAGATAGACTGCGATAAGGTAAATCCCTCCAGATAGTTTGGATAATATGGAACTACAGTCCGTGAACCTTTCCTAGGTGCAGAGCTGGCTGGGGAGTTACGCCGCCGTGCCCTGATATGGTGCCCACTTTATCCTGGAACATCGTTTACAGTTGTGGGGCTTTTTTTGTTTTAAGGACTCCATTACTCCTGCCCTGTGTTAGGAAAAAAACAGTGAAATTCACTGTTGTTAAAAATAGTTTTGTTCCTTGTCAGTGGTATTTTGTTTAAAAGGTGTCACTGAGCAAGTGCATCCTCAGCATGACATTTAAGTGCGTGTAATCCTAGAGCATTAAAAAAACCCCAAACCACCCACAGGAATCTGTTGACCTTTTTAGCAACGTAAATGAGGCAGAGTACTCAGCGTAAGACACTCGGTATCTTCAGTGCAGCACACAGCCTCAAAACACATCTTACTTAGTAATCAGTTAGTTGAGACCATGATCTTAAGTTTCTTTGTGGAGACAGAGGCTTAGAGCTGTTCCCATATTACTAAACTATGGAGTCCTTGACATATCTGAGGATAAAAAATTACTCCCTCTCTGACCACTGAACTACATGTAGTTCATTTCAGTGAGCTGTATAATCAATAACCTCTTGAGATAATACCATCACTGTAACTAAGGTGAAATCGGCCAAGGAATAAGTTATTTTGGTTGCACATATATTTTTCTTTAGTTACTAAAAATGCCTATTAATTTCTCTAAATTTTATGCGTAGTTTAAAAATTGCTAAATACAAAATTGATTAAATATCAGCAAAAGAACTCAGTGGGCTCTCGTGGTGAAATAAAACAAGTGAGGGTGCCCTCCGACCTCGTCCCATGAGCAAAATAAAAGAAAGACTAGGCAGGGTCCACAAGGCAGTGCTTTCCCAGCAAAGTAAGAGAATCGAGTCTGCGTGCTGAGAAGCCTTCCTTGGAGTGCCTTGACTGGGTCTCACTGTGTCCAAATCTGGAAGCTGTTAAATCAGATGCTCAACTTTTGATGGGAAGCAAGAGGGAAATTAGATCCAGGACACAATTTCCAAACTGTTCGGGGCACCGTCAGGCAAAGCAGAACCTGATACCAAGGAGTCTGTGCAAACTAGGCAGTTCTGGTACCAAATGCTCCAGCTTACAAATGTTTTATAACAGTCACATTCTGGACTCTCTGAGGAATCTCAGACGTGGCCCTACAGTGACAGTTTCACCAATACGGTCTAGACACAGAAAAGACGCATCGTGTGAGGTTATAATAACGTTGCCTTTTGAAAGATATTTTTTCTGCAGTTGGTGAAGTTTCACCATCCAAAAGTACCTACAAGTAGAAAACCTAGGCTAGGCAGTTCAGCTCAGCAAAAACATAGGTTGCAGAAATGGTGTAGGTGAAGAAGCAAGGGTCCACTTGAGAGTTGCTCTCCGGATTGCCCTTGAGCCAGCCAGCATTGCTCATCTTGTCCAGAGTGTCAGCCTGCTGTCCTCATCCGAGCGTGTGCAGGTTACACGCTGCTAAGCAGAGACTGCAGCACCCAAAGAGAAACATGTAGGTGGGCGCTGGTTGGGACTTCAGGGAGCCTCACCGCTGTCAGAGCCTCACTTCTGTCTCTAACAGCACAGAGTACACCACACCACGTGCGGCAGAAAACTGCCTTGTCCAATACTGAATATCTGGAGCTTTATGGAAAGACTCCAACTCGGAGATCAATTGAAATTAGTGAGTGGTTAAACTCATTGGAACGGATGATTTACCTTTTGGTAAATTAGATTTACCTTATGAATTTGATTCATTTTACATAGGAAAGCTTTTCCACTTAGTGTTGCCCTTAACAACTCCTTGTCAACACTGCTTCCAGGAGACAGTTGGTGCAGGATCCATTCACATAGTTAGGCTATTGTCCACTGCCAGACAATTATTCTCTCATCTTCGTTGCAACATAAATAGGTTTGAAAGACGGAATGAATTCACAGTATTTTGAGACTTCCTGGCACTGTCAGGGAGATGCATTGGCCCTGGCCCTGCTCTGCTTGCTCTACCCTAGAAATGGGAACGGGTTGGTAACCTGAAGAGCAGCTGATTCCAGATGAGAGCTAGCCTGAACGGTGGCCGTATGGTGTAGAAGCTCTCTGCTGAGAAGTCAACGCGTAATCTGTGCGTGATGGCCGCCTCCGTTCGAACACCTGCACTGCGGCTCGTTGCACACTTGGAGTAGTGCCTGCCTCTTCAGAGGGGTGGATTGTCTCCGTCAGTACTGGGGCCTTCAGAGGTTGTTGTTTTCAGTTTTAAGAAGGAAATTGAATTGTGAGATGTAAATGGAAAAGCTAGAAGATTGAAGAGAATTTAGATAAGAAATTAATAACGTACATAGGTCTCAAAATTTTCTTACAAGTCAGTTGTCATCTCTTTTCCCAAATGTATTCTTAATAGAAGAGAGCGGGTAAAGCACTATTATCCATGTAATTTGGATTTAACTGCCTCACTTCTTTTGGATTAAATTAGTATGTTTGTATTTTTCTCTCCTGTCTTTGCAAACACTTAAGCTCATTGTCGTAGAAGTGTGTGTGCTACAGCTAGATTCCCCAGGAGCCTTCTGTGGACTTCAGTGTTTGAAATCTCAGTCAGAGGCTTCACAAAGCAGCTTCGGGCATCATCTTCTCCTGGGTCAAGAAGGCGAGGAGGGTAGACCTAGTTAAGAGCTGGGATGTTCTTCTGGTGTTTTGGGCGTGCAAAAGGAACAGTGTGTTTAATGGTGCATGTTACTAGCGTTCTGCAAAGCAACGAGTATGAAGTAGGCACCGTAGACGTCTTGGTTTATTTGCAGTTTCTCATGCCTGCGTTTTTACACTTCTCTTTCTTCTAGGGAGAGCATTGAGAAAAGACACTCCAGCCATCCTTCGCCAGCACCTATCCATCCAGTAAACTCCCTCGGACATAATCGCAGCTCAAGTGAGCAGATCAGGAGCCATCTAAATCCCGAGGTTCGAGAAAAAGAGAAACCCAAAGAACGAGAGAGGGATCACTCCGAATCTCGGAAGGAGATTAATGTTGAAGAGCACAAGGTGAAGGACAACTATATTTCGGAGAAAGAAGGCCTGAGCCATGAAAGCCGAGTGGTGGAAGAGTCTAAGCAAATGCCCAGGGTTCCTTCACCCTATGCTAGGCCCCCTGTTGTGGAGAGCACCAGGCCTAATAGTACTTCAAACCGCGAGGCTGAGAGGAAGAACGAGCCGTCATACGATAACGCGAAGAAAAGCAATGAAGTCAAGGTGAAGGAGGAGCGAAAGGAAGACCATGATGTTCAACCTGAGGGACCTCAGAGTCATAGGTCATCTGATCAGCCACCACCTATATCTACATCCAACGTCCATCCAAGCCCTTTAGTGTCTATGCCCATGACTGTAGGTGTAACTGGTATACATCACATGAACAGCATCAGTGGCCTGGACAGGACTCGCATGATGACCCCTTTTATGGGAATTAGCCCAATTCCTGGTGGAGAACGTTTTCCCTATCCTTCTTTCCACTGGGATCCAATGAGAGATCCCTTAAGAGATCCGTACAGAGAGCTAGATATTCATCGGAGAGACCCCCTGGGCAGAGACTTTCTGCTAAGAAATGACCCCCTTCATCGTCTTTCTACGCCAAGATTATATGAAGCAGACAGGTCATTCAGGGATCGGGAACCTCACGACTACAATCACCACCATCATCACCACCACCCTCTCTCTGTTGACCCTCGACGTGAGCATGAGAGGGGCAACCACTTGGATGATAGGGAGCGGTTGCACATGCTCAGAGAGGACTATGAACATGCACGCCTGCACTCAGTTCACCCTGCCGCCTTGGATGGGCACCTGCCTCACCCAAGCCTAATCACACCAGGACTTCCTAGCATGCACTACCCCAGAGTCAGTCCCCCGACGGGACACCAGAACGGCATCCTCAATAAAACTCCCCCCACAGCAGCTCTCAGTGCCCCTCCACCTCTTATTTCCACTCTGGGACCGCGGCCTGGGTCTCCCAGAAGGACTACTCCTCTGTCAGCAGAGATGAGAGAGAGGCCTCCCTCTCACACCCTCAAGGACATTGAAGCTCGATAAGCAGAGTGAGACTAACTAAACACCAGAGAAAGAGGGACAGAATGTTGTAAATGAACATAATATAAAGACCTTCTTACTAGTCATTGATACAGACTGGGCATGTGACCCACTGTACAATATGTATAGACCTGAGTGCAAAGATTTTGAAATGGTTTTTTTTGTATATTATATGTTGAATTTTTCCAGATCTTTTAGCCAAGTCCATATGTTCCTCGTGTCTCCTACTCTATTTTATTTCTAGTTTAAAAATTTCAAAATTTGAACTGAAGAACAAGACATTGACCTGAACGATTTGACTAGAAACAAACCACCACCGGTGTCAACCCTACAAAGCTCTTTCAGACCAGAAGTGAAGACAATTGTAGATATTTATGTAAAAAGATTGCTTCATGGGTTAATGGTTCATATATGCAAAAAGGGTAAGATGAAAGCTTTACTTTGTACAAATGTAAATAGATAAAATTAAGTAACATAATACATTAATACTTCTTAAACTGTGCTATTTGCAAACTTAATATTGATCAACACAGTCTGCTTATGCTGTGTTACATATATTGTTATAGACAGCTAAACCCCTTCAACTATGCAATGAATTTGAGGCTTTTCACAAAAGCCTTTATAACTCAAAGGAGCCTTTTCAACACACAACATAATTAAAGTCATATTTTCCCTGAACAAGTTCATCTGTAGTACAAATCTATTGCTTGTTTTGATGAAGAAACAGCCCATTAGAAGTGTAGTCTTCTGTCTGAACCCCTGCATCAAGACGCTGACGTTACTGTAGCTCATGTATTCCTTAGAATGCGTCAGGGTTAGCAGTCTGTAATCACTGATACTGTAGTCATGACAGATTGGGTTTCAGTCACGTTAATCTGGGTTGAACAGTAATAATCAAATGCTGGATGTTTTCCAGAACTTTTGGCACTTAACATGTCTTTTTTTTTTTTTTTTTTTTGGAAGAACATCTGCTTATAACCATTCATGTCTGTCTTTATTGCCAGTGTGTCATTTATCTGTACACACTTTTTTTGTGTGTGTGTTAAGTAATTTTTAGCTACATTGAAACAAATCCTACAGGAAAGGTAATACTTTTCTAAATGATGGATATGTTTTCGCTGTGGATCAGTAGTTTAATTAATGAACTCCAATGCAGATTTCATAATGCAATTTATTGTATTTCAGTTGGTAATAAAGTCTGTGAATAGTTAACAGGCCAGCCTTGTTGTTCCCTAATCATAGAAGACATGAAATAACATGAAGAACACGGTCCTTTTTAAAAATATGCATCAATCTTCTGAGATCTGTCTTTTCATAACACACTTTTTTATAATGCGTTAAGTTTCTTGTCTAAGTATTTGGAGAGAATATGACTTTATCAGAGAGAATTCAATATCTTGTCTACTGGACTGTAAAATATATGTATGAAATAAAATTAGTTCCATTGGTCTTCTAGTGTATTAAAGTGCTATCTGAAGTTGTTATCCTGTTTTGGCAAAAAAAAAAAAAAAACCAAGAAAAAAATTAACTACAGACAGTTGTTTCTAATGATCAGAGATCTATTTTAGTAGTCAACTGAAGGTTTAGTTGTGAGCTTCAGATTTTGTGAACTCCAGATGTTGTGCAGTGGTTTTTTTTAAGAACAAAAGGAAAAATACAAAAAAAACCCAACCCTGAAGAATATGTACACTGGAACCGTAGTGGTAGCTTTCAGTATTGTAAAGAGATTGTTATATACAAACCTTTTTGCTGTTTATCCTGTATGTAATAAAGTCCTTTCTAGATCCTATGTGAACAGAAAAGTGAAGCGGCTCTCAATCTTCAGCATGTTTCCTCATCAGCGAAGACTTGTGTAATGTAAATTGTGCCATGTTATTAAAAAATGTGAACTAAACTGCTAGGTGCTTCTTTGTGTGGAGTACCCCATCGTTGCTATGGGGAAGGAATACTTTCTCCCGAGAGTGCGTTTTTGTTCAGAAGAAATAGCTATTAATAATGTAAAGGAAATGGCGAGCTTTTGTAAGCCATCTTGTTAAAATTATTAATCAGGAAAAAAGGAACAAAAAAAGACCAGATCCCTGGCTTGTCCAGATTCTTTAAAATACAGCAAACCCTACTTAGATTAGCTTTTAGTTAACTGACCGGTTGGTCTTTTGAGGAAGTCCCATACCAAAGTACATGGCTGTATGCAAACCCTTCTGCGAATCTGGGCAGTTCCACACAAGCCAGTGGCACTTCACCAGTTCTCATTGGCTGAAGATAATGCCCATCCGTTACTGTGAACAATGTTTGTTTGGGCTATTTTACAAGCTTATTGCAAGTGCTTCAAAACTTTCCTCCAAGTTACTTTGGCAGAGGTGACTTGTGATACTGAAATTTGCTTTCATGAGCAAGACATAGGAAATACTTCTTCTCTCTCAATAATTGCCCATTGTTCTGGTAAGCAATTAATTGTATACAGCCATGTATTCAAGTTTGGGTTTCTTTCTCTTTTCAGCCCTGTAGCACTTCTGTCTGTATTGTGCTCTTTCTCCTGTGTAAATCTGATGACATTTCCCTGAATTTCAACCATGTAACTAAGGGAAAAGAATAGCCCTATGTCTTTTAAAATCCAGTTTTGTGTAAATGGTGCAGGATGTACAATAGCAGCATAATGTGCAAAAAGAGCTTTTTTGTCTTTGCGAGGAACCTCTGTATTTGTTTTCTGGATGCACATCATTAGAAAACCTTCCAAGATTCTGAAGGAAGCCAGTTATAGATGGCGGTAGAAGGATGAAAGCTGTTGGAGCAAGCTTGCACAGATGCAGGGTGAGGGGCCCCAGGAGAGTGAGTCTAATGAGAGCACCATCTTCCAGGCTCAACTCTGAGCATTGTAATACAGGTCCTAACAGCTTTGTCGGTGTCTTCAGGGGGAAGAAATGTGGTATCCGACTGTACAGACGTCCTCCCAGGTGCTGAGCATATTCCTGCTAATGGTCCTTAATTCCCAATCGAGCTAATGAACCCTCACTCCCACAGTCCCAGAAAGCATTGAGGCATTTCACTCCCTTTGAGGTCAATACAGTTTAAGTGGCTATATGCTTTTGAAGAACCAGGTGTCAGGTCTTCCAAGACTGGTGATGCTCGGAGGAATATGCATGAGAGGTATAGTGAGTCGTGAGACAAGATTTTTAATGCTTTTAAACTTTTTCAGAAGCATTCATTGCTTTTTAAAAGGTTGATGTAGGGACGTTAGCTTGCAGGTATAGACAGTGTAATCTTTTTAGCAGGATTTTCCATTCAAGACATCTGCCTTAAATTTTTTATTTTTGAATCACTAGTATTTTAAGAAATGAAGTTTGTTTAAAGACCACGGAAAAATACCACCTGTCGGAAGGAAACGAGTCACGGGGGTATTATCCTGTAGAGTGTGAGAGGTTTGGATCACAGAAACCCTGAGCTACTGTGCTTAAAACACACAGGACCTATGCGTTATGCTTTAAGGCTCCCACCTCCCCGCACTCCTGACTCGTTTCCTACTTGGCAGCTTCCTGTCACCCGCTGCGATGCCCACTAAAGCAGTGTTACAGGAAATGATTCTTTGAAAGCAGTAGTAGCACTAGTTCCCTGATAGAATGTTCATTTTATGCTGTGCTTTGTCCCTTCTTTTTTTAAATTCCCATATTGTCATCTTTGTTTTTCCTTACTAAATAGCTAGCTCTAACCTGCTTTTCTGCTATTCGTACCTTACTGATAACTCTTGCCTTTTTGCCCGTCATGTTCTTCGTGACTTAAGATAGCTGAACCTGTTCTAGGCAGCAATAAACGCTGCAGGCCAATTTTCCCAGGAGCCATAGACACTGTATATTTTTGTTCATTTTTACCTTTGCCTGTATGAGCTTATGAAAATTTGCAGTCCTTATTAGCCTGGAAGATAGACAAATGGAGGTTGGGGAGGAATTTACTGAAAGTATATTCATTTGCTGTGGCTGTGCCTTGTTAAGTAAATATTTATCATGATTCTTGATAATTTGAACTCTTAACTACTGCTTCACACATGCAGGTGACCTCTGCTGAAAACCACCTGGGGCACTGGAACAAGGTAACAGACCTTTGGTTATGTCCCATTGACAGAGGAGCTACTTGACTTACTGCTTTTGTTTCTGGCAAGAAAGAAGAGCCAGCTGTGGTTCTAACAATGACCAAAGACTCAAATGGTACAGGGTTTTGTTACTCCCACGGTGACTCAGTTAAGTCTCACCTGGATAAACCAACCTGGTTCTTTGGACTCCAGCTGCCGTCTTTGGAGGCATACTCATCTGTAGCTTCAGAAGGCGATTTGGAGCAGGATTCCACTGTAAATGGTCTGAATTGCCTTTTGAAGGTGACTTCCTTAACTCCAGATGGAGACTAGCCTCTAACATAGCTGCTTCAGAGAATTACGTGCAAATGAGTGGTGGGACTACTCCTCTCTTGCTGATGTTACAGTCTCATCAGATCTTCCTCCCTTTCTTTGCACTGTAAAGTACCAATCCTAACCATCCTTCATGTGAAGCTCCTTGGGACACAGTCTATCTCTTACTGTGATTGCACTGTGCTTGGTACCCTGAGTGGGGCATTTCTCGATGCTCCTATAATACAAAAACCCCTTTGATAGTACTGGAGCTCAGAATGAAAGCTGAAGGCCTCAGTGAATTAGCCATCGTAGCCACTATAAAAGACTCCAGATTTTTGCTAGCCAAGAAGCAGCAAAGCTGCAGGTGAGAGCAGACTGTTCTCCCTGTGCCCTGTCTCTATCTGGAGTGGCTTAGACTGCTGTGGCCATGGGCAAGGTGGAAGTTCCCAGCTGGCAATGCCTCCAAGTGGCATTGGCAGGCAGTTTCCACACAGTCCCCTTCTGCCAGATGTGTGGTTTGGGGGACACACACCCCCTTCTTTTTCCACAGGTATGTGCAACTAAAATCATTGTAGCACAAAGACGTTTCCTGGTCATAAAGAATACCCCCCTCCTCATTTGAGCACTC